AGCATCATCTCTCACTTCTAAATGCGTCACTGTCTCCCTGGACTCTGCAGTATTGCACACACACACTGATCTCTCCATTCATGAACTTCCATTGAACCCTCAATATTGCATGGGCTACACAACACCCTTTGAAGGAAAATAACAAGGCTTTTCAGAACTGATTTGTACGAAAGGAAATTCTGTTACCTTGATCAGTTTAGGGGCCAACTACTTGTACAGTGACCTGGGAGATTTCTGTCCACTAGGTCCCTGTCCAAAAATAGCAAAGAGACACAACTACACCATTGCAAGTAGGCTTCAAGCCATATCCCTAGTAAATATAAGCAACTTTTCTAGAGTCCAAGAAAATAACTCAGAACTCTTGGCTGCTTTATTCTGCACTAACTGGATGGCTCCTTGTTTCCCCCACATCTTTTACAAAGGCCTTTCTGCATCTTTGCAGAGGCTGGCATCAATAAAAGGAATCTTCCTTCCAACTTTAAGGACTCCACATAGTCTAACACCGTCCCTGGCTCCCAGCAGAGGTAGCTTCCCCTGCATCCCTCTGAATCTATACTCATCATTCTGGGTACTCATACCAGTCTCTTCCCCTAGCCTATAACTGCTAATTGCAGGTATTCTGTCCACTTCTGCATACTCAGTACTTAGCAAAATGAGTGACACATAATAGACAATAAATGAATGTCAATTAAGTAACTTTATGTTGCCTGAACACTAATTACATTATTTAATAATTCAAAGGAGTAGAAAGGAAATACAGAATAAGAAGGCTTAGGTAAAAAATACAAAAGCAAAGATCAAGACACCATTGGCTATGGCTTCTCTATCCCTGATTTTTGCTATGTAATTTGGAAGAATCACTTAAGTTCTCTGTACATCAGTTGGGTATTAGTTAAAGACTCTTTCAGAGAAACTAAATTCAAAATAGCCTAAGCAAAAATAGAGCCTGAGTGCCAACAAGAGTCACAGAAACATTTATAGGAACAAACCCAGGAATCCCCATCCCATCTCCTCTCTGCTTCTCTTTGAGGGTTTGAGAGTTAGCTCACTGTCTTCTATTGTAAGAAAGTCTTTCTTCACAAAGGCAATGGGAAATGGATCCAGCAATAGTCACCATGAAAGCACAGAGGGGAAAAGCACTGGTCTCCCAGGGCCATACAGAACCATCAATGGACTCTAACGCTTTGTTTGGGATCCACGTCCTACTTGAGACCAGTCACTGTTAAGAGGAAGGTGGAACTCCGGGATTGGTAGGTTCTGACCCATGAGCACAGTCTTATGACAGTGGACAAAGGGTAGAGTGAGAAGCAAGGTGTGTTACCCTAGTAAAGGGATGGGACAGCCACCTGCTGGACAAAAACAATAGTTGTCCCTGTCTACTAACCTATTACCATTTACCTGCTTTATATTCATAATATCATTTTAAATAATACAAAAAACCTCTCATCTTCATAGAGCATTGTATAAGCATAAAATTTATTATATTACCTCACAGTTGGGCAAAATGAATACACAAGAGCTTAGATCATTATAATTGCCGCAATAAATGCCAAGGAATAAGTGAAACCTGTTCTCTTGCTCTCAATTTGAAAAAAAAAAAAAAACGCAACACAGAAATACCTTTTCTGTCACCACACGGCAGGCTGGCAACAGAAAAGCTCTTGGTCACGGCCTAAGGCACCAGTCATGACCCATTTGCTCAAACCAAAGCAGTCATTAGGCCTCCCCACATCATCAGGGCATAAAGTTATACTGTGTTCAACTAATGGGAAGAGCCATTGTCTACAAGTGATTAGAATGAGGCTTACAAAATTTCCACCCACTCCTATGCAGACAAAAAAACATTCCAACAAGCCAGGCATGGTGGTGCATACCTGCAATCCCAGCTACTCAGGAGGCAAAAGTAGGAGAATATTGGTCAGAGGCTGGCCTGGGAAAAAGCAGGAGAACCTATTTGAAAAACACAGTGAAGGCAAAAGGGCTAGAGGCATGTCTCAGGTGCTAAAGTACTAAAGCAGATACCTTAAAAGCAACTGAGGCCAATAGGAGAAGGGGACCAGGAACTAGAGAAAAGGTTAGATCAAAAAGAATTAACCTAGAAGGTAACACACACGCACAGGAAATTAATGTGAGTCAACCCCCTGTATAGCTATCCTTATCTCAACCAGCAAAAACCCTTGTTCCTTCCTATTATTGCTTATACTCTCTCTACAACAAAATTAGAAATAAGGGCAAAATAGTTTCTGCCGGGTATTGAGGGGGTTAGGGGGAGAGGGAGGGGGCGGGGTGGGTGGTAAGAGAGGGGGTAGGCGCAGGGGGAGAAATGACCCAAGCCTTGTATGCACATATGAATAATAAAACAATAATAATAAAGAAAAGCTCTAGGCACTGAGTTCAATTTACAGTACTGAAGGAGAGAGGGAAGAAAGGAGAAGGGAAGGGAGAGGAGGGGAGGGGAGTGGAGGGGAGGGGAAGGGAGGGGAGGGGAGGGAAGGGAAGAAGGGCTGGTTCACATTAGAGTCTTGGGCTTCCCTCATCACCTATTAACTAAGGGACTGGAAACACAGTGGGAGCAAGACACAAGGTATCTGTCTTTGTAGAATTCATATCCTAATGGAGGAGATAAAAAAAATTCAATGATAAATTAAATAGGGAGAGAGGGACAAGATGGAGATGAGATACCCCTGAATAATCCAGAACTCTCCTGCCTCACAGACCAGTTGAACTGAATCCCTGACCATGGGTGGTCATTTATGAAGCCCTGTCCACAGCATAGTAATAAACTGATACGAAAGTACAACTGTGGTTACTGGCTCTTTCAAAAATGTTGGAAAAGCAACTCCCCTCTCTTGCTGACAATCTGTTGTGTACACACATCCTTCCGTCTCCTAAGGCTTTCTATTTTGTAGCATACTGAAGTGTTATTCCAAGTTGTGCAAATGAGCACGTGCTTTGGTTTCTGGAGTATTTAGCAACCATTCTAGCACTGTTGCTTTGTTAAAATTAGTAAATAAATAAATAGTGGTAGTAAGAATGGCAACAGAATCATGATAGTGCTAAAAATGTATTATGATAATAATATATTCATTTCAAATTAGAAAGTGGAGCTAAAGTTCTCATGGGATTGCTGTTCAGCAGGGTGTTTCCACAGGAAAGATAGTGAGAGGGATTAAAAAACACACTCCGAAGTTAGAATCAATCCATACCCTTCATGTTCAAAGGCACTGGGATCTGGGTGGGTAGTAGAAATTAGAAATCCAAACTGTGGCTATAGTACACTGCAAAACCTTGGGGAACAAAGCCTTGTAGATAGGAAACCAAGAAAGCTACAAGACTGTGTGGTGTAAGTGCTAAATGCTTTCTCTCCAAGTTCCCACTTCAGCTTTGCTCACCTGGTCAAAAGTTGTCTCTAGCCTGACTAGCTTCATGGATTGACTGACTTATAAAGCAACCCTAGAAGCAGGTCCTGAGAGGGCAGCTACAAGTTCCTCCGGACAGGAAGTCAAGGACACCAGTTTGACCACACTTCCACAATGAACACCTTGGACCCAGGCTTTGTGGACACAACAAACCTTTTGTGTGCAGCATAGTGTAATCAAACGTAATGCTCACGACATCAAACATGAGCTTACTATAAACACGGCTCTGAAAGAGCTGCTGAGCCGCAGGCGCCTCAACTGTCAGAAAAGCCTGCCAGCCAGAGAGACAAGACTTCCAAATAAGTTTACAGCACCTGCTTAGGGCAGCCAAACAAATAAAAAATCAAATTATTTGGTATGGTTTTCCCTGAGATCAACGGCAGTGAAGCTCACTTGCATGACTGATAGAATGACTTTTATAAGTCCACAGTTAAGTAGGGACCCCTTAAAGAAACATACTTCTTTACTGTTTCCCTTAGAAACTCTGAACGTTCTGTTGGGGTGAGATTGCTCCTAAAATGAAGCTAAGTTACATCAGCACCTTTTGATTTGTTTTGTTTTGTTTTGCTCATTGTATCCCTGCGGACTTTCAAAAAGGGTTATGGCAATAAAATAAAAACAGTCAAGGAACTTGTTTTCACATCCCTGTATTTATAGGAACAGAATGTCTTTAAATGTTTAGAAAAAAAGTGTTTTTTAAAAATCACACTATATCTCTGAGACCAAATATCTTATAAAATGTATATCCAGTAGTCATGGAAAGTGTCTCTGGGAGCTACCCAGAAAAATGGGGAGAAATCAATACAGCTTCTGGACAAGGGACCAGCAGCTCATTGTTTATGAATGTTTTCACAATAAAAATCACCAGGCACTTTCAGTTCACCTCTCCTCAGTACCCCAAACCAGACAGAAGCCAACCAAGTGACTGAAATTCAAAGTTCTCTTCCCCTCAGTCCAGCTAGAATTCTGGCCACTTGATTAAAGACAATGTCCTTTTTTGCTACTCAGATATTGCTAGGAAACTCCAATGTTGCTTCTGACTGTCATGCTTTCTAAAACAACCCTTTCTTTTAGCAAACATTTTTTTCTGCCAGGAAGATTCCTATGAAAATATCAGATTCTGAACTGAACTAGAGAGAGGGAGACAAGAATTTAGCAGCCAGACTGTTAAACTTGAACTGTTAGTATATGCTTGAACCCCCCCAAAGGTGTTTGCAAGCAGTTTGCAGAGAAAAACTCTCTTCAATTAAAAGTCCCTGAAGGAGGTCCCCCAACTTTTCTCCCGGGGTGGAAGGGGCAGGGGCACCTCCTTTCTATTGTGCTATTACAAATGACTCCTCCAAATCATCACCCCTTCTCCAGAGAAAGCATGACTTGGAAACTACAAGGCATCCTAAAAGAAAGACAATCCTGCCTGTGCTGCTACCCAGCAGTGACTGTAATTAACAAACAGTTGAGGAACTTCTAAGACCAGATTTAAAGGGCCATGTAGGAAGGGGTAAAAAAGCGGGGACTATGGCTGCGTGGTGAAATGAGAATTGGAGAGGGAAATGATGCCGGTGAGTAACTGGGTGTACTTACAGCCCTCGGAGCCGAAGCCAGATTTTCTCGATCTGTTCAGGTTGCAGGTGTTTCAGGGAGTTGCTCTCGAATTCTTCAATCTCCTTGGTTGGGGATTCCATAGCTGCAGGTTCTCTCTGGGGGTGAGGCAGGGAGAGTTTTGCTGTCCCCTCCCAGTCTCCTCTCCGGCCAGGCCCGCGATCCCCGGCCAGGAGCGGCGCGCTTGCGGGTCACTTTCTCCGTGCGCTCCCGGTGCTGCGCCCCTGGACCCAGCTCAGAGCGGGTGCGGATCGCCTGCGACTCCGACCCCAGGTGCGCCCGGGAGGCAGCTGCGGAAAGCAGCCATGGCCGGGCCACTGCCCAGGGACAAGGTCAGAGATCCTGCTCTTGCTCCCACAGAAAGCACCTCGGGTCTTATCTGATTCTTTTCCCCCTAAACAAAGCCGCCGCCGGGGCGATCTGTGCAGGCACTGAAGGATTTGGAGGAGAAAGGAAGACCTGAATGGGGAGGGAGAGGGCGAGGAGAGGGGTGACCTGAGAAGGAGCGGGTAGGAGCCCAAGGGTGCTGGCGCGGGCGGGTGGTCCGACCTGAGACCATGCACTGGGCTCCGCCCTGCGCCCCCGCCCCTCTCCGTGGTTGCCCCCTGTTTTCTCTCACTTACCAGCAGCTCTGCTGACAAGCAAGAAAACTGACAAGTAAGAAAAGTCGTGGGTCAGCACCGGGGCTGGTGTCTGGCCCGGCACCACAGGCGTTGGGGAGGCACGGCGCCGTCTGCAGGGCACACTCTGGGCCTGCCCAGCACCGCCTGGCCCGACAGACCCGCCCCCGCGGGCGGCCAGCGGCCCCCACACCCCCACCTCCCCACCGCCCCCAGCCGCTGGCGACCGCGGCTTCTGGATTGCTCACAACATAAAAAACACGTTCCCTCCACTCACAGATCCCAGGGAAGGGACGTCTGGGTCCCCACTAGGGAGTTGGGCGTGGGGGGGGGGGCGCGCACAATACTAGGGAAACTCCTTGGAGTTTCTCTCTCTCTCTCTCTCTCTCTCTCTCTCTCTCTCTCTCTCTCTCAAAAGGAACAGATATCCATCAGAAGTGATAGGAGTTTCTGCAGATTAAATCCACAAATGTCACACACCTCTGGAGTCCCTGTAGGGTGGTGGCTGCATGGCTGTTAACGTTGGCAAGGAGATTCACCTCTACAGAGCTGTTATTCTCTGACTTTTCCCCCTAGGTCATTCACCATGTGGATGAAGGAAAGCACTGGAAGAATGAGACCAGGAGGGAAGTACCAATCAAGAGAAGAATCAAACACAGGAAGGAAACAAAAGAAACAAAACTCTTGCATGATCAAACTGATGGCAACCCTGAAATCGCAGAAGTGGTTACCAGCTCCCTTCTAGATGAGGCCACCAGAATTTACCATGGGCCCCTTGGAACTTGGGACTCAGGGCTCCAGAGATCCAGGGTGTACCATACACTATACAGTATTCTTCCTTATTGGCAGGTAATATTTCTTTCAGCCACACTTCCCAGCATTCTTTCTCTTTCCGTCAGGTAATGGCTATATCCCAAAGGTAAGATAAACTTAAAAGTAAGGACTAGCTTTCTGTATTGATCAAGTAAAGTTCCACTCATGTGACCTTGACAAAGGAATAAAATGATGGTACCTAACACACGGTTCCCTATTTGGTAGATAGCACCCCCCTTCCAGTAATTGGAGGTATTTTAAGGATGGCATGACTGTCCCCAAAAACTCTAACAGAGAAGGTACCTGGCACCTCCAGTTGAGACCTGAAAGGTTTTACCACTCACCTGCCACAGATTCTCACGTTACTCAATTAAAGTCAGATCTTAACAGTGTTCTGGAAGCACGTACATACTCCCTGAGTCAAGGCATCATTACCAGGCAAAAATAACATTAAGCAGCCAATACATTAGCACGTAGCCCATTTATATGAATAAAGCTAATTGTCCACCAGCAGGGAACAGTGGCTGGAGAAATGGAGTGCCAAAAGAAATAATTTTGGCAACTCATTTTAGGGATGGAAGATAGAAGGGTGGTTCCCAAATGAGGTATTTCCACCCGTGTGTGTGCCTTCAGCATCCTGCAGTCCAATGTGGATGTGATGTACAGTGATGCCAACAACAGCAAGCATGTGTGGGAACCTTCCTCTGATCCAAGCACTGTTCAAAGGGTTCTACTCTCATATAACACATCTCCATGGGGAACTAGACACAGCCAGAGTTTGAGGTATGGCTCATTATCTCATCCTGTACAAATGCAGCTCCCTTTTCCCCATCTGCAAAGTGAAGCATTTAGGCAAATGATTTCCTGTGCCCATTCCACCTTTGTGATTCTTGGAGTCATCTGAAGGAGCTAAGGAAAGGACTTGCTGAGAAGAGAGATGACTGTTACAGAATACACAATTCCACTGTGTCATGGTTTCTGCAAGGACTGACCAGGCAGGGAAGAAAAGAAGGGAATGACAAAGGATGCTTTTCACCTTCCAGCCCCATGCCATGCCTATGACTGGTTCCTAGTGGTGGTGGAATTTTAAATCAGAGAAAAGTCACTTTTAGAAGAAAAAGAAACAGCTTTTCAGTACAATCAAGCAAAGAGAAAAGACCACAATAGTAAAAAACAAAACAAACAAAAAAAAACTTTAAAAAAGTTTTGAAAACACATTTTGTTTCATTAAAAATTTTTTAAACTAAACGTGTATTAAAAAGTTGATTTTTAAAATCTAATGCTACTATTATTTTTAAAAAACAGATGCAAACTGGCCCAGAAACAAAAGATCAAAGACGGCACAAAATACCATGCATAACTTTACATTGGAGGTTCATCTCCTTTGTGACTTCTTAAGACAGCTCTTTGAGTCAGCTTCTAGGAAATCTCACATGGCCAAACATCACTAAATATTGTTACACATACATACACAAATATACACACATACACATATTCACATATGCGTACATATACATATACACATAGCCAACCATTTAGAATAGTCCCCCAGCTGGGCACAGAGGCTCATAGCTACAATCCTAACTACTTGAGAGATAGAAATTGGGAGAATCACAGTTTGAATCCAGCCCAGGGGGAAAAGTTAGCAAGACCCCATCTCAACCATGAAGCCTGGTGTGCTGGTGCACGCCTTTGATCCCAACTGCATAGGAAGGATAGCTAAAAGGATCAAGGTCCAGGCCAGCTTAGGCAAAATGTGAGATCTTATCTGAAAAGAAACTAAAATAGAAAGGGCTAGAGGCATGGCTCAAGAGGTAGAATGTTTGCCTCACAAGCATAAGGCCCTGAGTTCAAATTCCAGTTCAGTCAAAAAAAATAATGAGTTTCCCAAATAAACTTGCATTAATCCAGTCCAAGAACTAGCAAACCTTCACAAATCAACATTAAGTACCATAAAAGATTAGTAGGTTCCTTGTCCCAACACAGATCAAGGAGAAGCTGGGTGACTGTTTGACGAGGGAGGAAGAATCGGGCTTTTGTAGGAGTGAGACTGACCCCTGGATCCCCTTTACCTGTAAGATCTCATGATTTCATGGTGACCGTAATAACCATAAGCACCACGCCCACCTGTCAGTGAGAAATGTCATGCTAAGCACATCACAGGTTGGTCCATTTCACCCTCCACAAAATACTTGAGCATAGCTTTGTTTTATACACTGACACAGAAAAGGCTCTCAGAGGTGAGATCACTTTTGCAAAGGCATATAGATAAGTAAGTGGTAGAGCAGCTTTCAAACCCAAACCAGAGGACTGGAGGCATGGCTCAAATGGTAAAGCACCTGCCTAGCTAGTAGTGTAAGGCTGTGAGTTCAAACCCCAGTACTGCCAGAAAAACAAAATAAACCTACACCAGAAGGTAAAGTCCATGTTCTTTTCTCTGTGCTGTAGCACCTCTCTGTAGACATACCAAAGGTACACACTGGGGAAGGTAGGGCTGCTGCCCAAGCACAGATGAGGAGGTCACTAGCGCTGAGGGGGAATTTAGCAGGCTACATATGAACTGCAGGTGACATTTGAACTGGATCTTGAAGGTGGATGAGTAGAAGTTGCTTTCAAGGAAGGTGCATGGAAGCAGGTAACTCCATAAAGAAGGCATAGTATGAAAAAGAGACACAGAAACATGAGCAGGGGTGGACACCCCAGCAACCCATGAACCATTTTATGTGGTTTGACTCTAAATGTATGGCTAAGAACATCAGGAGAAAATGCCAGAAGGCTCATCCAGTCCCTTGTGGACAGGAAGAAGCTTGGGTTCTCTCCTGCAGATGGAAGGAAGCCCAGGATGGTTCTATGCAGGAGGTGGCCTGGTCATTTGTGGAGGGTGCCTGCTGCCTGAGCATGCCTCATGCATCATGCACTGAGCTCGGCTCTCCAGGAATCTTCTATGGGTCATGCAACTGCCATGGGACAAATGATAGCCAGGGATCTGTTAGGGAACTCCAGCTGTCAGATGTGAACAAGCTCCTCAGCTAAGAAAGGAGGAAGAACTTGGCACAGAATACAGATAATAATCAGAAAAAGCAGAATGTATCCTCCACAAAGCCAGCCCATGCCCTTGATCCATTTTTCACAACTTGGCATTGACACCAGACAGTCTTTTTGAGGGAGAAGTTCTGAAAACACATTTAGGACACTGGAAGCAACAGTAGGCACAGCAGCCCTTCTTTCTGCCCATCCCCATATGTGACCTGGCCCAACAGGGACTGTTGACAGAGACTGTTTGTTCTCTGGCGCTGGCTTCAGTTTCAAGCAAGGGTCTATGTGGTGGCACTGTCACACAGCTTTTCTACCTTATGTCTTCTCCATTTGATTTTATGTCATGAGGAGGACTCTGTCCCATCCCAGTAATCACCTTCATTAGAAAAAGAAATGGAAAGACAGTGACTGACTGAACCCAAAGTTTCCCCCAGTCTCACCTCCAACTGCTCGGAGCAGAGTGGACTTTGCCCATAGAGTGGTCCAGACAGTCTGGGAAGAGGAGATAGGAGAAGAGACAGCATGGAGTCTCAGCCAGGGTAGCATGCATGTGATTCACAACACATGCATGTGTTTTCCCCTGTCTAGCAAGATCCTCTAGCTGCTCTGATAGA